GAAAATACTTCTACAGGTTCCAAGTGCAGTATTCTCTCCGCAAGTGAGAATTTCTCATGAGCCTCATCGGCACTCCATATTGATTTAGATTCTAACAAATGTGTATGCTTCTTTGGCAGGAGTAAGCATGTCAGCTGCCACCAGAGACATACATTAGAAGATTAACCATAGAACTTGATATAGCAACAGGTGTACTTGAAAAGTCTAAAAGCACTTTTACATGCCGTAGGAATAACAGTGCAAGTACAGTAGAGAAAAGGGCTACCTTAGACAATGCAATTACATCCGCAGGCTGAGTTGATGATGCCATACCTGCAATAGCAAATCAGTCACATGACATGTTCACCAACAATATGGGTCAATCTTCCTAACAAAGTAGCTGTAGTAAGCGCAAGTTTGTTATATCTAAAGATACAACCTACACGCAAATGACAAAGGATTGGCTTATGAACTTGTATATCCAAGACAAACACAACTTTTAAGTTACAATGACATATGAAACAATAATAAGATAATGGCTGCATAAAGGCCATCAAAACATGAATCAAACTACACAGTACTACACAGTAAAGACCAACATATTGTAAGGAAGAAAATGTATTACAAGAATTGGCATCTAACCATGACCAAAGTAATCATATTGCTTGAGGTGATATTCAGGACGATTTTCTTCATCAGCATGGAAAGACCCACAGACTTCAGCCTGTAAAACATAAAATGCAGCTTAACAGACAAAAAACAATAACACAAGCATAAAAGTGTTAACCAAACACGAAATGCAAAACTTACCTCTCCATCCCATATGAAGTAAATTCCATCTGCCGCAGCTTCCCCTTCACGAACTATGTAGTCACCTTGATCTTAATAGTAACAACCCAATAAATTAGAAAACAAAAAGTATTCAAATATCAATTCACTGGTTAGTAAAGCATGTTTGGGAACTATTTATAAACGGTTTAAATTATAAATAGATAAAAATGAGTAATATGGGTAAGTGAATAGTACATGTGAGTCCCTCAATATGTGTGGATAAAAAGTGATTCAAGTGTTTATAAATAGGTTATAAACATGAGCCAAACATAGGCTAAGATACTGCATCAGTGCTTCATCATTAAATACAACACAAAACAAGTATTAGGGAAAAAAAACAATGTTATTGATAGTCGCTAACTGCAGTATTCATCTTATGTGACAACTTATTATTTGAGACATTAACTTATTATATGAGGCAATAGAATTGCAAGAAATTAATCCCTCATATAACAAGTTATCACATAAGATGACTAATGCAATTGCTACTATGAATAGCATTACTCTTCAAAAAATGCTTTTAATCGACACAAAATGGTTCATCAATAGCCAAAAAATAAACTAACTTCCAAAGGAAAACATTCACTTTCTAACGAAAAGGAAATATCAGTCTATGTTTGGTAGTATGGAATGGGTCTTCAGAGTCAACATAAGAAGCCAAGAAGGGATTGTATTCATTTCATTTTTTTGTTCCCAATCTTTGCAAAATATAACAATTCTATTATCAACCTTTTTTTTAGCACAATCAGTCTCCAACCTTTCAATTATGTAACAAAACTCATCCTTCCCTTCATCTGGCTAATAAATGACAGGTTTTCCCTTCTCTTAAAAAAATAATAATAATAATGATGATGATAATAATAATAATAATAATAATAAAGTAAAATCGCAAATGGAGTCTCATAACTTTTCAAAAAATAAAAATACATTTCACGTAAAATAATTAAATACATAGTAACACATAACAAAAAAAAAAAAAAGAATTTAGAAAAATTTCATCTTCCCTAGCTAAGCTCCCTCACCGCCCACCCCACCCGCAGTCAAACACCACCTCCACAAATGCAATCACATCTCTATCACCATAGAAAAATTAATTCACAAAAAAATGAAAAATGAAAAACGATTTAATAAAAAAAATAGCAACCTAGATCACAAAATAACCGTTGCCACTAGGCTGCAATCTAGGATGCTTTTTTTTTTATCCAACCTTTTTTTATTATTTTTTGAATTAATTTTTCTTTGATAGTGATGATATTGTTGCCGCGTGATTGCATTTGTGGAGGTGGTATTCGGCTACGGGACGGGGTGGGTGACCTTGGTTGGGGAAGATGAAATTTTTTTATATCTTTATTTATGTGTTAATGCTTATTTAGTTGTTTTATATCGGATTTATTTATATTTCTTGAAAAGTTATGAAACTCCATTTGCATTTTTTCCTTATTTTGTGTTGTTTTGTTGATTTCTTTTATTCTTGTTTATTTAATGAAGGGAAAATCCGTTCAAAGTGGAGGAAACAATAAGTTTTGTTACATATTTGAAAGGTTGAAATGGATTATACTAAAAAGAGGTTAAGGGTAGATTTGTTATATTTTGCAAAGGTTGGGGACAAATAGTGCAAATTTTCCTTTTAAAATTGATTGTGTGGAACTCAGTTTAACTGGAACATTAATGTACATGCATAGGCTTCAAAGTTTAATAACTTGGAAGATTAATCGTTCAAGTTATTTCATGTACACGTGGAACATAGTCCTTGTTTGGTCCATTAAAAATATATTTTAGGGGAAAATGTGTTTTGAAATAATGCTTTTTTTTTTTTTGAAAAATGTGTGTTTAAAAAATAAAAAAAGTTTTAAATCTTTTAATATTATTTTGTTGGAGAATGTACGGTTAAAAATAAAAAACGAAAAATATATTTTTATAAAAAAAAAAAAAAAAAAGGAGCCCAAACATGATGTGAACTTTTATGAATTTAAACAGTTATTATTTAATATATTCGTTGGGCCTTAAAGATCTCAAAAAATTATTATCTCTTACATTTAGCGGGATTATTAATGTAGAAATTACTTTGCACCCGACTTTAAAGAATATAATTCTAAAATCAGGTGATAAGTTTCATTATTCATAAATCAGGTGTTTAATATTAATAATAATATTTTAAATTAATTTATCCACACAATGTGTCCAGTTTCATGAGTTTCCATTTCCATCACTTCCATTCGCGAACACTGAGGCTTTGATTGAGGCTCTTTTATATTGATTTCGTCCCCAATATTAAATCCTAGACTTCTGGTTCCACTTTTCCATTCATTTCCCCCACTAAAAACTTCTCCAGCATCCATTTTTATTTGCCCCTATATCCGAGAACCCGACACTACTGACTGAACCGAAAACACCCAATTTTTCCCATCACCCATTTTTGCTAAATATAGAAAAAGAGTCAGTCAAAACCCCTTGTCTCGAATCCCAAAATTTTCCAACAATTCCAAATAAATTCTGCCTCGGACAAAATCAGTGCAAAAAAAATCAGCATAGCAAACAAGAAAAGGGAGAACGACAAACAAGAACCTCAAATATGTCCACCGATTCACATATCAAATACAAAATGACATTGTTCATATAATTACACTGTCGCCCCTTTTTTTTGGTTTTGTTGTGGTGGTTATGTGTTGTGCAGTGGTGGTGAATCAGTGCGGTGCGGTGGTCATTTTGCAGTTGGTGGTTAGGTGTTCAGTTGGTGTGGGATGAGTTGAAGAGTGTGTGATCAATTATTTGAATTGTTGTGACCAACTATAGGTGTCGGTGGTGGGATTGGAGTGGGAGAAAGATGAACAGTGTTCGTAACCAACTATTTAAGTGGTTGTGACAAATTATTTAGATTATTGTGACCAATTATTGGTGTGGGTGGTGAGATTGGGGTGGGAGTGAGACGAAGAGTGTTTGTGACCAATTATTTAATTTTTTTTGACTAACTAATTTGATAATTTGTAACCATTAAATAAATCGAGACCTATAAAATTTGAGATTTGTGATAGACAAAATAAATCATGAGCTATAAATTTTTTGATTTGTGACCGAGAAATAATTCGTAACAAATTAATTTGACAATATGTGAACAATAAATAAGTTGTGACATGTAAGTACGTAAATGTGACCATTAATTATATAACTGTGACCTTAATATATTTAATTAATAAAAAAATGTTTAATTATTTATTTACTACGGTTTGGAATTGTAAACTTATTATCTAAAAATTGAATTGCCTATTTGTAATACCTGAGATATGAATTTTCCCCATTATTAATTTGGCCCAAGTTGGGACCGAATAATTTTATTATTTAAGCGAGATTATTAATTTATCTACATTCATTTATGGAGATTGAGCAAAGTGGATTGAAACACAATAATTTCCAATTAAATCAATCAATAATAATTAAAAACAAAATAATATCCAGGAGAGTTACCATAGTGTTTGACAGTAACAACCGAAGCGATCTTTCTAAGTGAGGAACTTGGGAGTCTTTGAAGCAAAGGAACGCAGCCAAGGAACTCTATCACTGTCAATCCAATACACAAATAAAAAAGAATTATTTTTAGAAAAAAAGGGAAATTAAATAGAAAATTACCAAGAATCGGGAACAGAATCGGTAATGGCTCACCTGAGTCTGAATCCATTGTTCGGAAATTCGAGTGATAAAAGCTCTCCAACCAAATTAGGGACACGAAGAGAGACGGGAAACAAACAGTATGTGGAGTGATATCCACTGCGTGATATTGAACACGTGTGTAATTGACTGCTAATATACACGAATGAGAGAGACTGTTTAATTTTATGGTTTTTCCTTTTCTGAAATTCAATTATTTTATACTGTGCTGGTTTCAACCTTTCTTAAAAGTATACGTGGCATTTATGTCAATAGTGTGGAAAATTTGCACGTTTAGTCCTCGACTTATTTTTTTAGTACCATTCATTTTCAACATTTTAGTTAAGTAGTAAAACTCGTTCAATTTTCCAATTTGATAGTTGAAGTCGCGGGAAATGAAGGAATTGATGCACTAAAATGGAAAAATAAGTGAATACTAAAGGGCAAAAAATAAATGTCTCCTGAAGTATTTTAATGATTGATGCACTAAAATGGGAAAATAAGTGAAAACTAATAATACTATTTTTCCAAAATATAGGCTCATGGAAAAATAAAGATATCAAAAAACGCAATTCTTCTTTTCTCCCCCACACGCTGCGACGTATGTCGCCGTTATCACCATCACCTACCACTTTTCCCAAACAATCAGGGGCGCGCCCAGGGCAGTCAATGCCCACTTAGTAATTTCATGTGTTAAAATAATAATATTCTTCTATACAATAGTTCAGTGCAAAAAAAAAAAAAGCATCCTCCTTCATAAGTTAAATGTTTCACTAGTGGCTGAACTTTAAAATATTTTTGAGTGATGTATGGCTTGGAGGAAGAATTTTATATGCATGATCGAGATCGATTATGGAATTCCGTTTATCACTTTAAATTGAGTAACCATTTTTTTCTCATGGTATGATCTATTACATTCTAAGTCTTTTCATTTTGTCATTTGACTTATGATCTTCATGTAGCATTCGTACTAAATGAATCTTTCTATGGAATTCCTTGTACAGCATTTTCAAGTCATGATGGTAGATTTATTTTGAAGAAGACTATTTATTTA